CAGTCGTCCGGGCGTTTGGCGCAAACAGGCGTCTCTTTCCCTTTAACGGGTACGGCCCCGCCCCTGCCCTACCCCCAGCCCCCACTACCCACCCAATGCTGATCTGTCAGTGACTGCCCCATCCCCAGCCGGCCAACCCTCTCCACCCCGGACTCGGGCAGAGGCCCCGGCAGCCCAGCGTCCATCTGCGCCTCAGGGACAGCAAGAGCGCTCCTGGGGCCCCCGCCGGTCGCGCTCCCCCGGGATGCGAGTCCTTGAGCCGACGCCCGGCAGAGGCCGGCACGGGCGCGGCTACTCCCCGTGCACAGGGATGAAGCTGTCCCGGCGACCCAGGCGACCCGCAGCGGCCAGCCCCGCGGGCCCCTGAGGCCGCCGCCCCGAACGCTCCGCTACTGGGCTCCCAGAGTTGCCTGGGGCGCCCTCCCCAACCGCCAAACCTCCTGTGGTCCTCCTTGACCCGGACCCATGGAGCCGGCGGTCCTGGCCTCGCACAACCTCCCGCACCACGAGCCAATCAGCTTTGGCATCGATCAGATCCTGAGCTGCCCGGAACCCCCCGGGAGCGGCCTAGGCCCCGGTCGTTCAGGCCAGGGCCATGGGGAGAGTGCGGCGTTCTCGGGTGGATTTCACGGAACCTCAAGCTACGGTCCCGCGGGTTCGCTGGCCCCGCTACCTGGCAGCTCCGGCATGGGCCCAGGCGGCGTGATCCGCGTCCCCGCGCATCGTCCAATGCCAGTGCCGCCGCCCGCGGGAGGCGCGCCGGCAGTGCCTGGACCCTCTGGCTTGGGCGGAGCCGGGGGCCTAGCCGGACTCACCTTCCCTTGGATGGACAGCGGCCGCCGCTTTGCCAAGGACCGGCTCACGGGTGAGATTGTCCGACCCTCCAGCGTCCAGCCCCACATTGACCCCTTTTCCTCATCTTTGATCCTTCTGCTCCAACTCAAGTTCCCCGTACGCTCCCCGCCCGGATCATCCCAGGGGATCCTCCCCCAACATGTATCTCTTGGTCCTGATGCTGAGAGAGGCAATGGGGAGGGAGCTGCCGTCGATGTCCGCGCCCTCCTTTGCAGTCTACTGTCCACACTGCGGGTAGGGCAGGGTGAAGTTCCGGGGGCCTTCTCTTTCTCACCCCAGGGGGAGGGCCATTTCTTCCGAGGCCCTTTCTTGTCTGGAGGCCTTTGCTGGTGTGGGGCCGAGCTTGGGGCACCTGGAAGGGCCGCCCTGAAAACCCTGCCCTGTTCCTTCTTCCTGCCCGTAGCTGCTCTCTCGCCCTTCTCCGGGACGCGCCGCATAGGCCACCCGTACCAAAACCGGACCCCCCCGAAGCGGAAGAAGCCGCGCACGTCCTTCTCCCGCTCGCAGGTGCTGGAGCTGGAGCGGCGCTTCCTGCGCCAGAAGTACTTGGCCTCGGCCGAGAGGGCAGCGCTGGCCAAGGCCCTGCGCATGACCGACGCCCAGGTCAAGACTTGGTTCCAGAACCGGCGCACCAAGTGGCGGTGAGGCTTGGGGCGAGCGAGGGCTCGCGGGAGGCGTCAAGTGGCGGTGCGGCGCGGGGCGGGTGAGGAACCACGGGCCCGGCGGGTGACGACGAGGCGCGGGGTGGGCGAGGGCCGGCCTCGCTGACCCCGCGTCTCCGCTCGCCTAGGCGCCAGACGGCCGAGGAGCGCGAGGCGGAGCGGCACCGCGCGGGCCGGCTGCTCCTGCACCTGCAGCAGGATGCCCTACCACGGCCTCTGCGGCCGCCGCTGCCCCCGGACCCGCTCTGCCTGCACAACTCGTCGCTCTTCGCGCTGCAGAATCTGCAGCCTTGGGCCGAGGACAACAAGGTGGCTTCCGTGTCCGGGCTCGCCTCGGTGGTGTGAGCGACGCCTGCCTGACCGGCCGAGTGCTCTTTAACGGACTGAGGCGCCGTGCGGAGCGCCGGACCCAGGGCCACGGAGCGCGCGGCTGACCACCCCGTGGTGCCGTGGTGCCGTGGTAGCGGAGCTTGTGAGGAGGAGCTGGCTTTGAGGCTATCGTCGAGGGCTCCCCGGCCACCGCGGCTCCTAGGCTAGCGTTTCGAGGTTGCGCCGCGCGTTTAGACTTGGTCTTTCCCGCCATTTCCCACTTAACTGCGGTCGCACGGCAGCTGGAACCCGAGGAGCCAAGAAGGCGGGACTTGCAGTATGGTAGCCAATGAGGTGAGGGGAGGGGGCGGGCTGGCCAATGGGAGCTGCTCTCCTGAGGACTTTGGATTCTTCGGAGGGTGGGTTGAAGCTGGGGTTCTGGACCCACAGAACAGGCTAAAGGTGGTGCTGGGATGGGGCGGCGGCAGCTCGCACTACCTGGGTCTGTATCAAAGGTGCAAAGGAAGGAAGACACCAACAGCAGAATAATGGAAGAGGTGCTGCAGGGCAAGGGTCTGACTGTGACAGGAACCAGAGGGTTATCCACACTAGGCATCTCATTCTTCAACCGTAAAATTAATCGCTAAGGATACCTTTCTGACTCTGAACCTCATGTTGTCATGTGTGTTCAACCTGCTGACTCCGTCCTCCTCCTTGAGCCTCACAACGCACATGGGCGGCAGGGAAGACGGATACTTACACACCCAACGAAACAGAAAATCCAGGAACACTAATCTGGCTCTGGTCTCCCGTGGGGACAGAGAGAGGAAAGGGGGAAGCAGTGGATAAAATTAATGGGCCCCGTGGAGTTAGGGTGAGCAGATTTTGGCAAATAACTAGGAATATCCAAGAAGAATCAAAGATAATTCCAGGGTTGGAGATATAGAGGATTGGGAGTTCAATGGTGTTGTGGATAATGAAGGGGAAATTGAAAGATTAGAGCAAGATAGCTACAGGCAAAACTGAATGCTAGACCTAAAGAGAATACATTCTGGAAAAGTGCTTTTGGGGGGGGGGGTTGGGTGACATCCACATAGAGGTGGAGATAGATGGAATGATGAGAACAGATAGACTCTCCAAGGGAAGACACTCTGAGGAGAGAAGCAGAGTTCTAAGGATTAAATCTTTCTTTTCACCAATTTCTACAAACATATTTACAATGTGAAAGATGATGGAAGATATCAAAATTAATAATTTAAAGGAAGAAAAGGGAAAGGAGTACCCAGCTGGGAAAAAAGGAAAGTGTGATGTCCCTGAATTTGTTAGAAAAGCTTTAGCATGCTGGTAGGCCAGGGGCTGCTGGGAAGCTTGTTGGTGGAAAGTTGAGAATTTGGGGATGGTTTCAATAGCCTTGAGGGTTAAGAAGGAGCTGGATCTAAGTTGTATGTGGAAAAAAGGGAAGATTTTGTCTGATTTCTTATAGCACTCTCATTCTTCTTCCCCTGTAGGTGAGAGCAAGATAAAGGGAAGTGAGCTTCAGGCAGGGTCAGAGACCAATTGTAGTCAAACTACACATTTTCTGGGTTAGTGACAGCTAGGTCATTCATACCGCAAAGCTTGACCACAGGTGGGAACAAGGCAAGAGGATATTGCTGGAGGAGTTGGATGATATTGTGTCATCTCTAATTCATGGATATTGTATATGCTGCTGCAGAATCAAACTCAAATTTGGCACCATAGAGAAAGAACTTTTATAGATCAAAGTGAAGCACACAAAGACGGGTTTGGCATAAATTGGGGGCTTGGGGGGCATCAGTCGTTCTCCAATAAATAGAAGAAGGCTAAAGAAAGGGTCCAACCTTATGTATACTGTGGCTTACCCAATTTCCTCTATTCTCAGTCTACCATTTCTTGAGACTCAGGTTCCAGGATTTACATTTGATCCGAAGCTTTGGCTGGCTACCTTGGTGCTAGCCTGAGAGAGGACCTAATGCCTTCAGATGAGCTCAGTTCCATTCCTTAGGCATGTCACTGCAGGACACAGGCATCTCCAAACTCTTGGGTAGAGGGAGATTCACTCTCTATTGAAGAATCTGCCATTTCTTCTCTCAGCTGATTCAAGAGGTCTCTGCTCTCACTGGGAGGCAAGTTACTCAAGAAGTATGGAGGGGCCAACTCTACCAGCCTGACAGAGACAGTCACAGTTAGATGATTTCTGTATCCTCCCTTATAATGCAGATTCTTAAACTTCTTCCCATTCCTTCCACAAGCCCTGTCCCCTCAAATCATATGTCACTACAGACCACTAAGATATCCTCTTCTCCTTAAGAGGATATCCTCTAACTCCCCAGCCATAATTTTGGCCCCAAGAAGAGGAATGGGCAGTGTAAGAGGGGTGTCAGGGAACTCACATCTGTGGCTGAATCTCAGAAACAATGGAAAGGCAGTTGTCTTTGGAAATGGAGAAATTGTGGTAAAGCACCCACGGCGGGGGTCTGGCTGGAGACCTGCGGCTTCGGTAGCAGCAGTATGGGGAAAGCTGGGCCACATGCTTATGTGTCAGGAGCAGGTAATTTCCAGTCCCGTCTGTGTCTCGGGCCACCTCATTTAAAAGCAAAGATAGTGAAGGAGTAAGTGAGGGAGAAAAGGAAGGCAGTAGGAAAAAGAAAAGGGGGGGGTGCTGAGAAAGAATTAGGAAGGGTGGTGAGAGTATAAAAAGTAGAGCATCATCTCTAGGTGTTAGAGTCCCTACCATATGGCATTTCCCATAGCCCCCTGCACCCCAATACTTCAAAGGAAAAGTTTCTCCTGCTTCTAAAAAATCCTTTGAATGGTCACCTGGACTCCAGTTTCAGAGATGGCCTATCAATTTTTGGTCCCTCTGCTTTCTACTCCTTTTATGACCTTCACCCCAACTCTTTCCCCTAACCTTAAGGAAGTATCCTGACACCAGCGCTTTCTGAAGGTCTCTGCGATTCTGCTCAGAGCCAAAGGCTGGCTGGGACAAGGGAAGTTCAATTCGTTGCATGAGTTCTAGGAGTTCACCTCGAAGTTTCTGGGCTTGGCACAATGCTGCCCAGTTGAGCCCCCGAGCCTGGCACCAAGCCTTGTCTGCTCCACCTACAAGAGGAAAGGGCACAGCTATAGTTGCAGAGAGACCCTGAAGAGAACCCACCCCTTGGCCAAAGGGCCTCCTCCTCCTGGGCACAAAGATCTACCAGCTGGTTGCACACCACTTTCCCCTCTTTGGAAAATACAAGATGCAGAGTGGGCTACTCACTCTGTATAAAGGCTTCATACACCTGGATCAGAGAACTGTGATCACCATCCATATGTTCCAGGGCCCGACGCAAGGCAGATTCTTCTGCAGAGAGTGGAGGATGGGTGAACCCAGGAGCAGCTGGAGGAGAAGAGAGGAAGGTCATTCTGGGGAATGAGAAAGGATAGCAGTACAGAAGGAAGGGTGAAAAGGTAGGAAGTGTCACTTTGGGAAATTTATTCAAAAGACGTTGATAACTTTCTAGGTGCTTTGTACTTTATTAGACATTGAAGATAAATGAAAGACAGTCTCTGCCCTCAAGTAGCTTAGAGTGTGGTGAGACAGATAAGCAAACTTGATCAGCACAACAGGTGTGTGGACCAATATTTGAAGCTTTTTTTAAAAGATTTTATTTATTTATTTGTCAGAGAGAGAGAGAGAGAACACAGGGGGAGTGGCAGGCAGAGGGAGAAGCAGGCTACCCACTAAGCAGGGAGCCCGATGCGGGGCTTGATCCCAGGATGCTGGGATCATGACCTGAGTCGAAGGCAGACACTTAACTGACTGAGCCACCCAGGCATCCCAATATTTGAAGTTTTGTTAGGAATTAGCTCAGTAGAGAGGGGGCAGAGAGAATCTGAACTGTGGGCATGGCAAGGTACAGAAATTAGTAGCATGGCCTGTTTGAAGACCTGCATGCACCTAGAAAGGGTCAGGGGAGTGGCATGTGTGGCAGAGTGGCAGGAGACAAAGCTGGAGAGGTAGGTGTGGGCCAGGTCATGAGAGGCTGGATGTGCTGTGGCCAATGAGTTTACATTCTGTCCAGAAGATAGAGAATAGCTGTTGAAGAAGAGTTTTGAGGGAAGAGAGTCCAAGTGTTTAAAGAAGTTTACTTGACAAGTTAGGAGGCTAAAGGAGTCTACGCTGAGTGGTGGTGAGGATCTAACATTGGCATTGATAGTGAGTATGGAGACAAACAGATGAATTAAAAAAAAAACAACAACATTTAGGAGATAAAACTGAAAGAACCTGGAGAAAGATTAGTCTAGAATGATGGTAGTGGAGCTGCAGAGATGATGGCATGGTTTTGTGGTGGTGGTGAGGGAAGAGTTTAAGCAAGTGCTTGAGTTCGGATCTGGGCTTGGTACTGTGGCCAATTCTGATAGAAATGTCCATCAGGCATCGGATATATAAACCTAAGATTCAGAAGAATGGTATTGTCAGGAGATAGAAGGTTTGGAAATTTTAAGTGTAAAGATGGCACTTCAAGACTATGGGTGTGCATGAACTTGCTCAGAGAGTTCAAGGAATGAGAAGGCAAAAGGGGCAAGGATGGAACTCTGAGGTCCAATTTACAGTGGATGAGCAGAGGACAAAAAGCCAGGGAAGAGATGAAGGGAACGGCTGAACAGCCAGAGAAGTAGGATGAAAACCTGGAGGAGCAAGTCACAGAGGCTTAGGGAGGGGGCAGTTTCAAGGCAGGAGAGGTTGCATTTTCAAGTGTCAGAAGGTCATAAGGTATAAGGACTCAGAAGTATTCAGTGGGTTCAGCCTTGGTGGAAGGGGAGGGGTGGTGGGGGGTGAGGTGGTGGTCACCGCGGAACTGAGAGATTTGTCAGTATTATTGTGGGCCTGAGCCTGGGATGCAGTGGGCGGGAACACACCAGGCCGACTGGGGCAGAGGTGATTCTGCATTGCTGCAGGGGAGTAGAGGGTGGATGGAGAGGGGTGTGGAGCTTTAGTAATAACAGGAGAGATTTACACATGCTGGGGGCAAGGACCAGCACTGGGAAAAGG